AGAATGAATCATGTCTGTTCCACTTACTCGATAGAATTGGCTTTCTTTTGTTTTTTGAAACTGTTTCGATGATGATTTTTATGCTTGGTTGGCTTGATATCGATTTCTTGTGAAGCTGGAGAAGGAGTATGATCACTTTGTGAGTCTTGTAATTGGCCATCGTCATCGATGCCACCATCGACCACAGAATTGCTCATGTCTTCCATATTGAAAGTTGTGCAAGTCAAGGCTGGAGCAATTAATTTCTTCTACCGTCTCCTAGGAATATCTCGATTTCAGCGTACTGTACCTAGAGTCTTTTCCATTCATTTGTTAGTATTGTATCGCAAACAGTAGCGATAATATAGTGTATTACTATGGAGACACCATTCTTTGGTGGTGGTGGAGACATCGAAAAGGCCAGAGAGATGGACGGACAAGAAACGGCCGTTCACTCGAGTCAAAATCAGCAGAACGATCCAGTTGTTGGTCATTGAGCTGTACCGTATGTCTGTAATTGTACACTATACTATCCACGATGGTCATGGCATGCAATCCAAGTCACGGTATTTTAGTGCTGTATCTACAGTATATTGTACTGTGCCGAAGGGTGAGTGTACTGTACACTGTACTGTCCAGTGTCCGTCATGGCGTGCATTCAAAGCCAGGGTAGTTTACTGAGATCGAAAAGGCCAGAGAGATGGACGGACAAAAAACCGCCGTTCACTCGACTCAAACTTAGCAGAACGATCCAGTTGCTGGTCATTGAACTGTACCGTATGTCTGTAATTGTACACTATACTGTCCGCGATGATCATGGCATGTAATCCAAGTCACGGTACACTTGCTGTATCTACAATATATTGTACTGTGCTGCAGGGTGAGTGTACTGTACACTGTACACTGTACCGGACTGTCCAGTGTCCGTCATGGCGTGCATTCAAAGTCAAGAGCAAAGTAAAGAGATTGAGAGACAGCAGAACGATCCACTAATTGGTCATTGAACTGTACCGTATGTCTGTGATTGTACACTATACTGTCCACGTTGGTCATGGCATGCAATCCAAGTCACGGTATTTTAGTACTGTACTGCACCTACTGTACTGTATACAGTAGTACAGTACAGTATATTGTACTGTGCCGAAGGGTGAGTAACTGAGTATACTGTACTACTGTACACTGTACACTGTACAGGACTGTCCAGTGTCCAGTGTCCACGATTGTCATGGCATGCATTCAAAGTCAAGTCCTACTGTACTGTACTGAATGTCCATTGCATGAAGAAACTTTTGCTTAATTCAAAAAGTTGGACAAAATCAGTCAGTCGCTATCCACAAGCATGGACTAACCTAGTAATATTAGTCGTTGATGGCATAATGCAGTATAGGACAGAGGTAGTGTTGTGTATTTGTCGTGTTACTGTTGATAGGAGGCATTGAGGCTGTACGCTCAGTAAAGTACAGCATAATGAGTGAGGGGTCTACTAGTCTACTATCAAGATAACCAAACCTTTCTCAGGTCTAGTCTGACATCTCTCTCTCTCTTAGTAGTCTAGCGGATCAACATGGATCCAGTCTAGCGATCAAAATGCGCTAAAGGGTTTCTTTCTTTTAAAAGGATCTTAGCTAACTAATCATAATATGTAGTACTGCTGGTACTTTAATTTTCCATTTTATTAGGCTTCCACTAGGCGTCTATACAGTACAGTATACAAACAGAATACTGTTACTGTACACTGTACAATTATTATGCAACATTGCTACAGACCATATGGAAAGTCTTGGTAAAGTACTGTACTGTACACTGTACACTCAGTGTACAGTACAGTACAGTACAGTACAGTACAGTAGTACGGCCGTGGCTGTAACAAAGCACTGTACATATATGACACGGGTCCGGACCAGACCGGACCAGACCAGACCATGAAGATCTCTCCGTCACAGTACTGTACTGTACATTAAAGTGTACAAGTGCGTGTACCGGACCGGACTCTTACAGGTACAGTACTGGTAAAAGTGCCGTCACTGACCGCAGTACAGTACAGTAGTGCACAGTACGGTACGGTACTGTACTGTACACTGTCCACTTCAGACTTCAGATGCAATGAAATCATCTATCCCATAATGCACTGCCCTACGCACACAGACGCAGATGCAACATCGTTGAACAAGATGGCGCAGAAGGTGGTTCAATTTGGTCAGAGGTTTGGTACCCGTGTAGTCAATTCATCTCAAAGTAAGTATTTCAAATGTTTAAAATGATCTTCTAACCCATAGTTTAAAACACATCCTCCATTAGAAATGATTGTTCGGTAGCGTTAAAGCCTGATCGATGTACTTTCCTAACTGAAATGACGAACCAGTGGATGAAAAACATGTCCTACCGGTCGTTGTACAGTGTGATAGGACAAAATAGAATAGCCTGCTGTTGAGTAAAACGAACAGTCGCAGTCATGACTGGAAAGAGAAATGATTATGTAGGCTAGTCCTAAATAGACTTGAGAATGGACATGCTTTTACTTTACTAAGACTAAGGGCTTGTTCACGATATCGGATCAAATATGGATCGACGTTACCACCATCGATACTGTACGCAGATTGTCCAAGGGGTGTAGGAGCTTGGTGCATTGGAAAATCATATTTCACAACGCTTATAGGATTCCCAAAATGGATAGAAATGTCATAAATAGATTACGCTATGATGGTTCAACTTGGTGTGAACGATATTGTAATGGTAGCCTTCAATTTAATTTATCCAAAGGTTTTTACAACCTTCATGATAGTTCTAGCTTGCACCCCTCCGTGTCAAGACCATGACTGAAGCCGTTATGCGTATTACACTAATCGATGCAAGGGATACTATAGACTGCTTAACTTTACGGAATCATTCTTTTAAATGAGTTACTGTCTTATAAAAGTGAACATCTGCCATAGATGAAAGTAAACTTGATAATAGAAATCTTTAAATGCAATCGTTATCTGTATAGAATGGAGAATGTACGATTGGCTCAAGGCTAACTTAACTTAATGTAGCTAGACGATGATAGTAATTACTTGCATAGTATTACACCATTTCTAACGTAGGCTTTCTGTCATGTCCTATAGCTATAGCTCGAGCAGCACAGCCTCGCTTGGCTACAGCTTGGTCTTATGCAAAAGTCGAGATGAGACCTGCTATGCCATCAGAATGGCCTGCAGTCAAGAAAGGATTTTCTGATATGGCTCAAAGTGCTGTCACTGGTCGTTTCTTGGATTACAATGTGCGTCAAGTAACCCAGAAAGCTTTAGTTTTTGTTGAAGTATGCTGTTGGTTTTACGTTGGAGAAATTATTGGCAGGCGTAGCATAATTGGATATAACGTATAAACATAGTGTATTTGCTTTTACGCATGGTGAAAAATTCTAGTTGATTGACTTGAAGTTCTTGATGTCATGACATCAACTATTTTTGACATACTTCTGTAATGCTATCCAGATGATGATTATTATTATGTTATATATCTCATGCTGATAGGAGTTGACGTCAATGGTAGTTTGCAATGTAAATCAAACACACATCTTTGTCCATGCTAGCTGTCATTATTTGCTCCAATAACATACAATTATTCGTGTAAAAGGAAACAATTCAATTTCATATTCAATTTTTACTTACAGCTAATATGGATAGTGCTTTATTATGTATCTTAGGGTCGGCTATATCGTAATATTCTGCCCGTGAAATAAAAAGCAATCAACTTCTGCTAATTTCTGTGACTCTTAAATATCTTGGATTGCTTGACTAATAATGGATTTTAAAAGTTGATATAACGTGCATTACAGACGTTGACACTAGTTGGATGATTCAAACTTATACGTACATCAAAATGAGTAGACTACTCAATATTTATTTAATATAAAGTCATCACAACCAGAAATGTAGTGGTCCTATGTGGCACTATTTTCCTATTACAAATTATTATTTGTAGCCTAGGATTGAGGCAAATTCATATGGTCATTTAGTCCCTTACAGATACTACTCCCTTCGGCTAGTAATATTTTATACAATCTTTAGTAGTGCCTAACGGCTACAGTTTATAGCAGCGTTTCAATCTATGGATTACATAGATTCTTAACAGAATTGTTACCAATTGCTAATACATTTCATTTATGTTAGTATTGACTGACTTTGTTTCCAATACTGAATGTAATCCTGAATATATAGTTGCTTACTAACGTTAGAAATACGATCTAACACATTACATATTTCTAATAACTAAATTGAAACCCTGTTTTTAAAGCTTCAATTAACAAGCAAAGATAATGTATACAAGCTTGTACATACTGGTAAAGGAAGTATATGACGGTAAATGATAAGAAATGGAACAATTTTCAATGCATTTTATAAAGCAACAACTTTGACGAGGATCATTGCAGTGAAGCGGCTAAGAGGTGATTACTTTGAAGTAATAACTTGCAAGGTATAACTATCATTACTGCTGGATCGAATAAAAAATTGTACGTACTGTATATAACGTAGAACGAATGCGGGAGTAGTTGCTGAGGCTTTGCAATGCCGTTACTGTTCTATGCAATATTCAATTTCGTGTATATTACATAGCATACTCTGGATCTAATACAGGCTACTAGGACATCACAATAGTTAATTTAAAAGAGGCAGGATACAAAAAACAAACACTTGAATCCTAAATCGAATAGGAAAGCGTCAAAAATAAAATAATATTGATGCTATTAATCTAGGCGTCTACTTCTTGGATATTCGTGACTAATGCGTACGCCTACGTCATACCTAAACTAAAATACGAATGTTTTGTGGCTTCTATTTCACTTTCTACAAAATATGAATTATTATGCGGTGTATGAATAATTTTTTATCTTCTCAACTAGCATAGGGTTGACTATTTACTGTGGCATTCAGTTTAGCTAGTGCGACTATGCAATCTTCCTAAAGGTTCTTTATTTATAATAGATAGATGGCAGCCTAACTGGCGTGTGTTAAGTGTTATTTGACAGTTGGAGTTGATATTTATGTAATTGAGACAAAAGTCGCTTGTTTAGTGTAGTATAATATGACCAAAATTTGAAATAGAGAAGAAAATAACGTAGAAAACGCCTGCTTGGATAAATAGATACAATAGACTTGCCCTAGATCGCCATGGTACGCAGATTTAATAGAGACGGCTACAATAAATTTTAAAGTTATAGTGATTCAGAAAATACAGTTATAAAGAAGTTATCTTGTATGCTGATTTAAACCTGAAGAAATTACTGCCATAGATTAGAATTTTCTCATCACCAAAGAAAATATCGATCTATACTATCCTTTAGTTGAAAGTTATAAATAAATGTAAATAATATTTTATGACTTTTTTACAGATTATCACCTTTGATTGTAGTAATACTAATTAATTCTAGACTTTGTACCATCAGTCTATTAGTTTCGATAGACTGCAAATAGTAGCACGTAGTTGTTCAACTAGCCGTTACAGCGAAAGAACGGATTGAAATTGAAGGGAACAGGGTAAGCTAGAATATTGAATGGAATTGGTCTTTCCAACGTTATTACTCTACTACATTACAAGTAGATACCGGACTTACTTCTTTAATCTTAAATCCATTAATTATAATATTAATCTGGAATTGCCTTTTAGCCTTGAAAATCTACTAACTGCTTGAAGATGATGCTGCAAGTAAGAGAAGGATATTGTCATTTTTTTGTGTGTGTGTTTGTGCCATCTTAGTATTTATACAACTTGAGATACAAAAGTATACTTTATGTCTTAAAGCGAAATAAACAACAAACACTAATTATCTATGAGTTTACTATGTAAAGATTAACCGCTTTGAAGGTTTTTTAAGAAAACTGTAGCTATAGTTTCTACTACTAATTCCAAGATAATTTTTAAAAGCATAAGAATATTCGATGTGTTTATCCGTGTAGATGCAAGAAAATGCAGAGCAAACTTTTATCAACGATATTTTAGCTCAGGCTGGGTAAGCCAAATTATAAGACGTGTGGCTTATAATTTTAACCAGATACGACCTACAGATCTCGTATTTGATAGTCATAACATTTTACACAATCGGTTTTAATCCCAATGATAAATTCATAATTTTTTACGCAGTAAATTCATAGTACAGTATTATAATTTCCGAATTAATTTTACAGCTTTCGATCGCGTAGCTTTGGAAATGTGACACTTAGGCAATCGAATTCCTATTATACCGCAAAGGTAATTACTTCGAAAGAAATATTGAAACGAATAAAATAAGGTTAATAAGGTGATATTTGTACAGATCGCAAATTTCTCACATCAGTGAAGAATTACGTAGGGTTGTGTAGGAGAAAGAGTAGTCTTTATTATAGTTCATACTGACTTTTGATAAGTTAAACAGTGCAGCTTTATGGCCTAAATCAATAAATAGCCAATAAAAAAGAATAGCGTTGTTAGCTTGCAGAAAGTAACTATATTAGTACTGAAAAAGTTAATTTCATGCTTTAAAAAGTCAAGAAACAGCCATAGAATTGGATCTATTTTGTTTTTATTTTCTATGTCATTGAAAAAACAAGTACATTCGAGTGCCAGCTCACATCAGATCAGAACACATTTACAAGTTATTACACGAACACTGGCAAGTTTTACACCCTGCGCTTATAATATCTATCTTGGGGCAATATAAAGATCAAGATCAATCCTATTGGGGAAATCGATTGTGCCAGACATTAAATCAAGCAATGCAAGATTTTACTGTTCTTGTAATTACTGATGGCATTAATCACAGCTTAGTGAATTCAGTAGGTAGGATGTTTGCAAAGCAACGACTTCAGTCTTCTTACTGCAAATCGTCGCTTTTGGGAATTCCAATCTGGCAACAATTAAAAAATGATAAAGTTCTTATTGGAAACAATGTAAGATATGCGAACAGATATAATCATTTTTTTTCTATTGGAGTTTAGCATAAAACGAATAGCATGGCCATAGATTGATTATTCTGAATATGGAATTACTAATAGTAATTTAATAAATATGCTCCTACATCAACGTTATAATTATAATTAGGAAATAGGAATGACATCAGCTGTTTATGATATAGAAGCCGACGCAAATAGTGATGATCAAAGCAATTACCTCGAACCTTTTCATGATTACTTAGTTATGATAGATACAGCCAATGCTGATCAACAGGATGAGGTGAGAGGTAATTTTCTTGCATCGATGATCAAACAGTTATCGTTATCATGGGCACCAGGTAAGATTGTATCTATATAATTACTCGCTTATATATATATGTTACCTCTACTTCTACATTCTTCGTACTCATGTGAAGTTATCAAAGTGATTCTAGACTAATTTAAAGTGTTACAGTTCATTCATAATTTGTCATCTAAAACAAACGCCATAACTTCTTATACAGAACATTGGGTACAGAAAACCTCCTTAGAGTCCGTTCCATATCTCCATATTCTTATTGGTGGAGATTTAGGCGCTATTATTCAAACATGTCGGCTGTTGAATGATCATCAACCAGTGATTATAGTCGATTGTAGTGGTCCAGCAGCCCAGTTACTTTGCCATATTTTCAGCAAGCGAATGTTCTTTCAGTAAATCAATCCTTAATCTATGTAAATTAGAACTGCTAACGTTTTTAATATCGAAATTTGAATAATAAGAAATAGTAATGGTCAAAATTTTAAAAGCAATTTCTTTGGCTAAAATATGATAAAGTATTAACGTATTGAATTTGCTTCCATTTATAGGGAAGGAAATGCAATGATTACAGATGATGATATTCAGGGCCTTATTGCAAAAGAATTTCATCTTTCGGATACCAAAAATCCATTAATTCAAAATTGCACCCAAAATATACTCGGTATCCTGAGAAAATCTTCTCAAGTAAGACTTAACTTGATGCGGCTATAGTAATGATAAGAAGTTAAGCTGCCCCTCAGAAAATAAACCATTTAGCTTTGTCGTAGGTATACATTATTAAACCAGCTGAGAATTTCGAGCAAAGGCTATATGAAATAATCTTTCAGGGTTAGTTTATGAAATTAAAAATAAAAATTATAGAAAAGGTATATCGTATTAAGATATTTATTTCGATTTAAAACTTTTATTATTAGCTTATGCGTATGACATGGTTGGGAAACTAAAGTTACAGATCTTATACAACAAACTTGATCAAGCTCAATTAGATAAAGCGCTGTATAAGTTGGTAAGTTAATTCATAAACCTTAAACCAAGAGAATATGTAGTTTTTTATCGCAATATTACTAAGATAGGATGTAAATGTATCAGTGTTTGTCACGAAACGAATTTTTGTGATGATTCTTGATTTATTCAAGCTGAATTTTATAAGAGTAATCTCTGCTTCATTTTGCATTCGAATTGATTTCTATACTAATCGCTGTTTTACACATTAAAAAGTATGTTTCCTGTCTAATATAACACGATCCTAATGCTTGACATAATTTCATGATAACGATGTATCCTTGGAATATTTCCAATTCCTATCAGACGCCTATAATAAACTACTAGTGTTATTAAAGAGTATTTTATGAATGTTTCCCGAGCGAATTGTACCTTAATTTTATACGGCTGTTTTTCCTCTAAGTGTTACACACGATTTGTGGCAGTACTATCATTGCTTTTTGCTTACTTCTCATTTTATTCATTGGCAATATGAATTCTATAGTGCTGTTCTACACATCCGGTAGATGATTTCATTAAGAAAACGGCTTTAAGTCGAGGTTGCAAATCATCGGTTTATGCCTTACTCCAGAATGGGCAGTTAACCTTATTTTCAGCCATGGATTCATTGCTTAAATCAAATACAGTTTCCGATCATGTCATTGATACATTATCCAGTTTAATGGATACTATGGATGCTGATTTAATACAATATCTTACGCTGAGACGGCTAGAAACTATCTATCAGAAGGTTGTATTATATTTTTTAAAATGTCTTATTTTCTTTTTTTAGATAAATAGTAAAATAATCGTTAGATAAATTTTACATGAAATTGCTAGTGGCATGGAAAACGTTACGTAAATCGTTGCACTACAAGAAAATAAAATTGTTACGAAGTGTATTTTAATCAAGCAATTCTACCAGTTTTATAGTACTTTTTTAAACATCTGATAAGTTACTTTGCCTGTACTTCTATTTTTGTATAATTCTACACTAAGACAGTTGAATTTATACCAGTCTCTAAGTTAGAGAAGTTCATTAAAGTATGTACCATAGTCTTAAGGTTTTTCTAATAACGCTCTCTTATTTAATTTATCCCTTATGGCATGTCAATTCAAAAGTTTATAAAAAAATTCGTGATATACTGTTCTTTGATCTCTCTTGCATCGTGTCGTAAAGTAAATAACAAGCTAAAATTAACCTTAAAATTTCTTTTTACCATAGAATTTAAATAATTTGTTAACTTTTATTGGCTTGTATGCTCATGATCGAGCTATCCGTAGCAATGATAATCTTCATAAGCTTGATGATAGTCAGTTTCTGCATAAAGTTGGTCTTCGTATAGCAACGCTGCTAGGACATGATTATCGTAATCCATATGGTTGCCACGTTGAAACTCAAGGCATTGATAATACATTGAATCTTCAGCTCCAGTGGCCTGTTCGAGATCTTTTTTTGTGGTCTATCCTTACTGGTCGTTATAATTTGTCAATCGCTATTTGGAAAAGATTAGCCCATCCTATAGCAGCTGCTATCGTCGCAAGTCGATTACTTCAATCACTTGAAAATGACCTAACAGAAGAATATCCACAATATTGTCAGGATTATCCTCGAAAACTAAAAGCAATTCAAAAGATAACCAGGTTAGCTGTGTGCAACCTAAATTTTAAATTAAATTTATCTTTACAGTATACAGCGCAAAAAAAAAACAAGTGCAGCTAGCATTTTGTCATGTATAAAAAATTATTAGTAGCTTTCACAATTTCTTAGCTATTTTGCGATTTAAATTCATGACTAAGTTCTGTTTCTTCTTTAATAGAACCTACCAGAATTTAGCATTACAAGTTATGGACGAAATTTATAGTAAACATCCAAAACATTCAGTATTAGATCTCCTACAAGAATTACCAGAATGGGGCCATGTATCGGTATTCAGTCTCATTTTTACATCTCAAACAGCAGACGACCTAGTAGAACATGATTGCTACTATAATGCTCTAAAATGGCAGTGGAATGGGCAATTAATAAGTTACTTGAAGAGAAAAGAGGTATTTTTTAGAAATATTCTGTTACTAACTTACTATTGTAACCCATTGCCTCTATAACGGTGCTCTTACGGCTTGTTACGGTAGCAAATCTATTTGCATGAAAGTAATGCTCTATAAATCATATCTTGTATTATTTATTATACTACGAATATTAGTGAATCTTAGGGACTACAAAAGCATAGAAATCTCATATTTTTAGTAGTCTTTGCTACATGGTATTATTTAATAATGCTTCATATCTATGCTCTTGCTGAGATATGAACCTGAGTATAAAGGTACTTAAAAAAGCTGTTCTAATTTTAATTGTTATAGCCTCAAAATCGCCTTAATGATAGCGACGAAAGTACTGACCGTCGTAAGTTATTTCCTCGGAGCCATTGGTTTTATAAATGTACAACACCTAAAATATTGTTTACAACCAATTTCGTAAGTATCGTACTGTTAATTAGATTTATTTCTATTTACCTTAATATTGAAAATACTGGGCATTTCTGTTATACTCGTAGTAAAATTTCGGTTTGCTATACATTACCTTCTAGCTGGCCTATATCCTATTCATAATTTTATATGCCGCTTTCCTATTCAATTTCAATTCTGCTATAAATTCAACTGAAATTGTAACCGCTGTATGGGTGCTGTCATTCTTCATGGATGAAATATCACAAGTAATCTAGTTAACCTAAGCTTACATTATTTTGGAGCTGCATTGAAAGTATCTAATTTTAGAATGCAAAGATATTAACATTAATTTCCTCATAGACAACTTGGAAAGATAGTATTATCATGCTTATTACTATAGTTTAGCTGCAACTTTATTGATAACGAATAATTGACATCTAGCCACGCATATTTTATTTCACTTGCTAAGATAATTCGATCGCCTGTGAAAAAGTGGAGCGAAAAATTGATATATTGGATAAAAGATGTTTGGAATTTATTTGATATTAGCGCAATATTGGTATTTATTGTAGCATTTATATTCCGAAATTGGTTTATCGAAGTAGCGAGAATCCTGTACGGGCTAGATTTTATCATTTTCACTCTCAGGTTACTGCAAATATTCTGCATCTGGCCTTCACATGGACCTAAACTTCCAATGATTGGCAAAATGGTAAGATTAAGTTATCAGTTCATTCTCAGTTTTTGGGCTTTAAGTTCTTTACAGAATAGAATATTGGGTAGATTTACTCTGCTGGAAATGGGCGATTGATTGTGTCTATATTTACTTAGCTATCAACTATAGCGAAGCAAACAGATATATTGAATTATTCTAGTAATCATACAATATGTTCTGCCATACTTTATTGAGTCCTTAATCCACATAAGAACAAGATAATTCGAAATTTTATTATTTGATTATTATGTTAATAATGTTTTATATTCATATAACAGTATCAATCGATTTATTGCAATGAAGTTAACTAACTTTAATGCAGTAAAATTTTGATATATTTAAGAGTAAGATGACTTAATGGAACAATTCCAGCTTAATTATAATTTATTATGAACTTCAAGCATTATTAGCAATTAATGTAATAATATCTTGCCGCATGTAAGAGCAGAGCGATTTGATTCATAATTAATTCTATGGGATCGAATTTGACTCGATTAAAGATTGCTGCTTAATGAATTCTACTCTCAGCTAGGAGACTTGATGTCTTTTTTGGCCATTATGCTGGTTTTTGTAATTGGATTCGGTGTTTGCTATCATGCTTTACTCTTCCCAACCTGGACTTCACCAATAACAATCGTGAAAAACATACTAATTGTTCCATATTATCGATTATATGGAGAATTGTTTATTAATGATCAAGGAGGTATTACGGTATCATATCATTGTTATATGTATATATACAATTGTTGGAATTTTAAACCAGAAATTACAACACTATTTAATTTTAAATTTTCGTATTAATTTTTTTATTTAACTCCTGTGTCGCTTATAAATACTGTATTGTATTTATTTTTTTTAGTAATTGAGTGTCAAAAAAGGAATTTCACCTCGTATGCCTACTATAATTGCGAAGCTGTACAAGTTGTCGTTAATGTTGTTGTTGTCATTTATTTGATTATAACCATTATTTTGCTGCTGAATTTGCTGATTGCTATTATGAGGTTAGTACTGATAACGGAGTTTAACCTGAATCAAATTATGATGTAGTATAATGTAGTATATAAACAGCGATGTAAGTAATGAAATTAAGGATTTCTTTTTTGCAGCTTCTGCTAAATGATTTATTTATATAACGTTAAATTAACTACATAAATACTTATCAAAATTATAATATAACGCAATTTTCCGTGTAATTTGTCATCTTTTAACTTAACATTGATACTGTATTTATCAGTAAGAGTTACGAACGATTGCAAGATGAGACGGAAAGAATTTGGAAATTTCAATTTAATGCCATAGTGAGAGAATTTTCCGGCAAATCAATCATACTACCGCCATTTAATTTATTGACTTTACCTGTACTTATCCGCTCTTTCTGGATGACAGTGAATAGAAACGGCAAAACTGATTGTTTACAAAAGTACAGTAAGTAATCATTCAAATAAGAATTTGAATACGTCTTTCAAAACTTTCCGAGAATTTTATTATCTACTTTATAAGTCTTTTATTATCCTATGATAATACATAGGCGATATTGTATCAAAATGTAGCATTGACAGTCTTGCTGAATCTCCATCTAATACAGTTGTTGTTGTTTTTGTTATAATCAGTATTTTTGAGATCAATATAATCGATTTTAGTCTACAATTCTCCTTCAAGGCAATTGCAGTTCCTTATAGTTCAGTTTGATAGTTTAACTGAATCAACGGCAGTTATTTTCTTTGCTCAGGCAATTGTTCATCGATGCCTTCAATATTGTAATTTATTTATCAATAATTTCTATACGAATTTACCATAAGACTCATTGGCGATGGCTTATTTTAACAAACGAATTAACAAAAGTGATTAATGTTATGATACATTGCCCTTAAATTGCACTTTATCGCAAATTGAAAATAATCTAAAATAGCAACAGTTTAACCACATCATAGGAAAGCTTTGCAGAAGTGGATCTTATCTCGATATGTATTTGAACTACTTTATGAAATTTTATACTAGTACTATACCTTAAGCAATAGTCACGTTTTAATTCTAGAAAGAGGCTAATAGGGCAATCTTAATTTCACCTCCGCTGCTTTAATTCATAGAAATAAAACTTTATCAATAAGTTAAATAGGTTTAAAACAATACAGATCAATGAAAAGGAAATCGACTGTTTGTAATCGTTGACTATGAATTGGTGTTAACTACTAAAATTTCTCTTTTAGTATTGTTACAAAATGAGGAGAGACAATTTCTCATCCATCATTATTACTGTTGTACCGCTACGCTGGCATTAATATCGGGAATTAATCTAGAGTAGAGTCACTAAAATGTCTCATCTAGAACTTGTTCAAAAAAGCAGTCCAGTCCTATTAATGTCAATATCTCTATGGACTACTTTCATGCTTCTAGTGTACCATAATTTTAACACGAATTTTGATGAAAAATCCATATTTGATATCCAATCTATGATTAGAGAATTAGCAGTTTTACGTGATAGAATGCTATCGATTAAGAATAATTCGTATATGGTAGGACTTGCGATATTTTTGAATTCAATTCAGTTGAAATGTAGCACTTAACCAAATATGATGACCGCATAAAATACTACGATGGTAGTAAAATTCTAACGTAAATATGATTATCACCCGTTCATAGCCTGATCTATTATCTTTTAGTTTACTACCATAGCAATTAGTTACAAATGCAGTATAGATGTAAATTTGTTAATATAATTATACATAATAATATCCCTATCATACTGCATTTTTATTTGCTAGTGTTAGTACTGGTAGTTGTTTTAATTCCAAATTATGACAATTCAAATTTTCATCATTGCTGTCTAACCCAATTTTTATGTATAGGGTTGTAATAATATTGCCATTAACAGTTTACAGGCTTAGACAGTGGTACATGAATTATTTTCATTTGTGTAATTAATGCATCTAATTTGAATTTTCTTTCAGCAATTCCTGTCATCATAATACAGAAATACGAAGATGATTATGAAACAATCATTCAGTCATTAGAAGCTCAATCACGCGATAGATTGATACTTGGCCATTCCTTGCAAATTGATTTAACTTTAATAAAGGATATGTAGGCAAAATAAAGCCTTGGTAGAATAAAGATTTGGTATTGCGTGACCGTTATCAATTCGGACGGCAGACTTTCAAATAAGATGGTCACGAAAAGTGAATGTTAGTCACGATATCGTTGAAGGCAGAAAACGACATACAGTGAATGGTGTTCACATGAATTACAGTATTTCTATATTTAAAATAGAAAGATTAATCCTTTATAGACGCGCAGATCTAATTTTACTATTGAATTGCTATTGTCACTGTAGCCAACTGCGTGAAAATAGCTAATAACTAAAATATTTGGATAATTGCTTAACAATAGCTATCGCAATAGTATATGCGCATATTTTGTGAATTTAGAATTATTATTGCGTAGCAGCTATTTTGCTTTTAACTACAGGAAGATATTTTCTTTGTTGGTTATAAAGATATTTTTTAAATGTATCATTTTCTTCTAAGAACTTCAATTGGCGACAATTGCAAGCCTACAGATTCGAAGTTAGGGATGATTAGTATTGTTTTAGGTAGATGAAATTATTTCGTTATCCGATAATATTTAGGAATATGTTTACTTAAAATAGCCGAGATTGTTGAGTAAGGCTGCATTAATAGTTAAAGGTTACAAGAAAGAAGAAGAAAAATAACATTTTAATTTTTGAGGTATGTGGTGGTTTTATGTAGTATTAATTCTATTATTAATCGATTTTAATTTCATCATCATTTATACATTACATTTTAATTGATGAATTGTCCATGTAGATTGTACAACTTGTATCAATTTGGTCGAAATTAGATTGTTGTACTGTATGTGCCCCAATTTTATTCTAATCGCAGGTTAAAACTTTTCGGTATAGTCCTTCTGAAAGAATAAAATTGTGTCGACAATAATTAGATTATAAATCATTACCGAAATTCGTATTAATTGCTTTTTCACCTTTTTATTTCATTTGATATTTCATTAGGCGATATTGCGGATTATAGTTTTTAATTAATTTACTTATTTATCTTACGGGATATACCGATGGTGTTGACAATTTAGAATATAGTAGCTTTAGTATTGGGTGGAAACTAATTATTTTCTGTCATAAGTGCTGCAAAGGAAATAACATTAATGTCAGAGAGTGCTACTGTAGTTATAGAAATAAAAATGTTTGTGATACAACGATAGTTCAAGTTATGTAGAGTAGGATACTCTTTGCGATTATCCCAGTAATGTTAGGAAAGAGTAGGCAAGACGGCTGTCTATGATACAAAGATGATGATTTCATAGTATGTTCTACGTACGATGTACTTTAAAGTTACCAAAATCTGTGGTTTACTCTTTTCATCAAAGTAAACTGGTGATTATCCATCTCGTTACCAATCCTAGCTCTTGTGTTTAAAATGCTATATTATAGTATAAGAAAATTTCTACATCAGAATAAACTCTGATGTACTTTACAGTTAAGATCATTGATGGTTTACTCCTCACAATCGAAACCAATTACTAGCTTTCTTCTATTCTACGAGTTTTATTCGTTACCGTATCATGTTTAGAGCACTGTGATATTCTAACAAATTCTTGCACTAGGGGCGCACTATTACTGTATGTTTTTAAAATCCATCCATTTCTGAAGCCAGTGACCCAGTCGAGTATACTACAACCATGCAATAACATGGATCCTTTTCTCTCTCAAACTATTACCAGTCGGCAGTATTAGAAAGAGTGTTTTGATGAAAGGATGTGCTGTCATGTATCAAGAGATATTTGAAAGCTAATAACATGTGCACTTTACCTTCACAACCGTAACAAGTTGGCCACTTTCCGACTGTTGAACAGCCCTGTTGGCAGTATTGAATTAAAGGAGTATTATTATCCTAGGCAAATATTGTACTATCATGTACTAAGAAAATACTTTTAAGTACAGTACATCACACGTGTCCTTTACCCGCAAGCGAAACCGATTGGTAGCTATCCATCCGCTTAGCAGTTTTTGATGATCGTATTTGAAGTACTGTTTAGTAGTCAGTAATAAGATGAAAAAGTGTTATACGACGACTATAATGCACTATGGATAGGATATACTCCACCCATATCGTTCATTGAAGTAAAAAATATTGCTGGTCTATTTTCTGGCAATCATTCTAAAAATGGCAGTTTTTCATCTGTTGACCAACCCCTTTGATGGTTGATATTTGAAACACTGTGCCGCAATAGGATCAAGAAAATTTTGCACTATGTTGTCCTACGCTGAGTAATACAGCACAATGGTACTACGGATATCTACTTTTGTAGTGAATAACATCGGTGGTGGTTTACCTTGTCGCTACCGATACAAATTGATCACTTTCTGCTTGCTAAGCTGTCAACAGTTTCTGGTTACTCTATCTGAAATACATTACTATCAGTATGATTGACTGTAAAAAGAATCAGATTGGTGCTTTATTCCTTGCAATCGATACCGATTGGCAACTTTCCGTCTAGTCAACAGCATTGATGGATAGCATTTGAAATGGTGTTGTATTAATAATTAGTTCAAGTTGCAAGCGGTACCAATTGGAGCTTTCATTCAGCCTTATTTACAGTACAGTATTTGAAAGAGTTGTTTAAGAATCGATTGCAGTAGCCTTGGGAGGAAGTGGAGACAGCAATAGAGTCACGCAGTATCCATTATGAACACAATGGGGATCAAAATATTTAGTATAGCTACCATATTGGGTATTGATTTTACTTTACTTGTAGTCTAAAGTGGTAAGGCTTTCATGCGAATAACGATAGCGTGACAAGAATGGAGGACAAGGTGGAGCCAAGTTCTACTTGAATGAACATTAATTGTAGTTTTATCCTAATACATGTGTTGTTGAACTAGCTATCATTGTATCGTTAAGGCTGAATTGTGACTGATAATTTCATATGTTAGTAGTTGAATACGCATATCAATACTAAGATTCAAATTTTAGTATAAAAATGCTAAATTGGACAATACTCGTGGTGTACCCACAAAGGATAACATTTTACCTGATCGCGAGTGCGTGGGTAAAGTTCTGTAGAAGCTGTGTCATATTAAAAATGGATATCGATTCGGTCCAAAATATGGTCATAAAACAGAAAGAAATGGGATTGATGTGGATGAGTTTCGTGATTTAGTCATGGTCAACTTCGTAGCAATGGCTAATGCAAAAGACGTATGTTGTTTACGATAGTTCAGCCAAGGGAGAAATAATAGAATAATATGGATGTTTTCCGTATTTAATTCAGGCAAATTATGCCTCTTGTGTTTTCTTCAACATGGATTCAATAGCTTGCCTCTAGCGCTTCATTAATTTAATGATGATGTGCAGCGCTAATAAATCAAGAAAAAGAGAATATCCGGTGTTGGAACAATGCCATTATGTCTCTTTTTTTTTCATAGAAGTCTATCTGTGACCGCGTACCGATATTTCAGAGTCACGATAATTGAATATTTGTTACATGGATTTCTGCGATACTTTAGAGGAAGAAAAGCAGTGCAACGACAGTAATTGTCGTAGCAAATGGTGTTAAGAATGAGCAAATCTACAAACACCCCAAATCAACTTTCAACACTGTTGATTGCGACCGTCTTGTATGAGCATGGCAGTAGAACTTATTACGTTGCAGTATTGGCGTGATGAAACGTCTGCACAAAATAATCTACATTAACATTTCTTGTTTACTTTACAGATCAACTTGACATGATGACACGCGAATTAGTTTTTTGGAATTGACTATTTGTTCATTGCCTACCGTAATTTTTACCAAGGACTATCATCCTATCAGTACGTCTCTGTTATGACAAAGACAGTCTAAATCTTGCCATTTACTGTACTGTATACTCATCATCCATGTTACGTTTGCATCACACGAGACTCAGCACGGACAAAAATGGTTGATAGGAGGAAAATTTGTTGCATGTTGTTCCGGTAGTTTATTGGAAATCGGCATGATTATTGACTGTTATGAAATAAGCAGTGAATCTCCATTTTGTTTACTGTTTACTTTTTGTTTGTATCAGCGTACGCTATCGTGATTTCGATTTCATCATAAAGGAAATCAACCAAGGTGATACTATTATTTATAGATCATAACGGTTTTAAAACGAAAGCGAACCTTTCTCAGGTCTACTATGATCCATCTATAGTCAAATAATATCCCATTTGCTAAACAGTCAAGTTATGTCAATGCCTCGTTATCCGTGACTACGAGCAGCCTTTGCTGGCTGCAACCAACAACAAATACTGTGGCGATGATTGTAGCCCAAACTGTCTTCATTAGCAATAGAGTAGGGCTGGATTGGATGGGTATCTTTCACTCTTTGCTAAAGTGATTTGGAAGCGTCCAAGGATGAAATAGAGCCATTTGCGTGATAAAACAATGCATGGCGCAGTTAATAAAACGATGACTGTCAATACTTAACATACAGGCAGATTGGATTTGTTTGTTTTGTAACGCATTTCACACAGTTGTGCGAAAAAGCCAAAGTTGGCGGCTTTTGTCACGTAGCATAGCGGCACAACGCTAGTCATTCAGCATGTTTTTTATTCAGCAAATGTTTCATCTGTATTATTTAATTTAATTTATTGACACTTGTTCTGACAATCTATTTCAAGCAAGGCATCCAATCGTGTTGACAAACTTAACATTGAAAATGATTTCTTCCGGGTTGGTCACGCATTCTTCTTGCTAAGCATGTCAAGATGTGGATTTGCAAGGACATCAAGATTCTTTGCTATAGCTACTTCTTGCTACAATGAGCAATAAGCTTCTTCATCACTGTATATTGTAATGGGTCCCATAGTAGTTTATGGACAATTTTCTCTAGCCGACACACCATGCCGTGCGAATCAAGAGTAAACAAGATGATTGGTGTTGCATTGATATTGTAGTCAGTACAGTGTCGTATGTTATCAATTGACTCATTTCATGGCATTTCTTTACTTTGCCCCTAACCTATATATGTATACAAATGCATTATCTATTGGATTGTCGTTGTACCCATCATGATGTCAGCATAGGGGTTGT